TTTGCACTAACTTTTATCCCAAATGTCTAATAATGGACCAGAAACCTAAAAAGAAAAAAAAGTCGATTCAAACCTCTTTTAGCTAAATAGTTCATTTTTGGATGTTTGTCGTCAATATTGCAGGGAGGCTGAAGTCAATGTTCCAGCAGTTTTTCTCACGTCATCGCATTTCTTTCACCAATAGAGGGCGCCATAAACTCAGTCATGAAAGCCAGAACATGCAGTAGCTTCCAAACATCAAAAAGTTTCATCATATTGTTAATAAAAGTTGGTTCCAGAACACGCATGGCAACTTTGTTATCATTTCTGAAAACTGAAATTTGGTATGATAGCTTAAAGATCCTGCTTCTACTTCTTATCCTGCCTATCTGACCGTTTCATCCTGTGACCTCTGTGCACTTTACTTCAGTTCTCTGCATCAGTTTCTCTTCAGTTGTCCAGTTTTCCATTTTGTTTTGCTGTTTTCAAAAACATCTGCCATCTCCAGTTTGTTGTGTGTGTTTTTTTCCTTTAGTCTGTGCTACAGCATGAACTCTGTCTTCTTTGACTGTATGATCTAGCTTGCGTTGTAGCTGTTTTTCTGGACAGGTTACACTTCAAAACCAAAGGAAGGGAAAGATATTGGCTCCAGAAGGCAGCCGGGGTTCCCATTTCTTGTGGTCTCATTCCAAAAGATGTCTCTCTCAGTGGGTTCTCACGAGTTTCAGCTTCTGGATGCCTTCTGCATTTGGATCTCCATCGAAAAGGACAAATAAAAGAAGGCAAGTTAGGTTGGAATACACTGCATTCAAACAGAGTATGTATTAGATCAACAATTTCCAAGCCTGACGTTAAATGTGTAGACTGTATCTTATGTCTTCTCTGCTGCCTGACATTTTAGAGGTGAGCTTGAGAGGCAGCTCTCTGAACCTCCAGAAACCTGCCCTAGAAAGGGTTAAATAAACTGGATATTGAAATCAACTAAGTTCATTTACTCCAGCACTGTAGTGAATTATAATTATCAGTTATTTGTACTTTACTGAAATATTTCTAGTTTGCTTTGCTGCATACTTCTGCTTCACTGCCAGGAAAATTCCTTTAATGTCTCTACTACTTATGTGCTATTAAATGCTCAGTATTTTCATATTGTCGTAAAGATATTTATAATTAAAGGAACTGACCCATCACTTTTCATTGGAATTGGTGTTTTGTAGGTAATGGAAGAGTGGATGCTGGGTTTAAAGCCAAACACTCTAAAAAAAGAGAAAGAGTAACACAATTGTGGAGTCTATGCTTTTATTTGTTTCTGCAAGTTTGCATCTCCTGGTGGGAGCTTTTCTGTTCTCTGTAGCCTGAAAATAGATCCCGTTGAGGGCCAGTCATGGCTGTAGACCACCCCACTTTCCACTCTACTGGCACTTTAATCAGATCCACTGGGAGACAAGAGGAAGGGCTCAGACTCACAGCTGCCTCTCTCTCCCTCCTTTCCCATCCACCCCATTTTTTCTACCCTCTCCCACTCGCTCTTAAGCACCGTTGCAGACTGTTAGTAAAAATGTATGATTTAAATTATTGATGCTAAAGATGCACTTCACCTCTTCCATACTTTGTCAAGATGCTTTACCTGAATTACTTTGCTCGTGCCTTCTTGGCAGGTTGTAAAAAAACGGTGGATATCCCCATCTGTGAGGTCCCTGTCCTATAAAAAAAACATCAAAATTCCTTATTGGAATCATTTGACATAGCATGAAGGTGACAGTGGGTTAGCAGTGATATTTTTATTTATTTTTATTTATTTTTTTATTACTTTGGCAATTTGATTGGCAGTGCTTGTGTGGCCAATTTTAAGGGCCAGCAGTTGCAGTGCCTGAGGAGAGATAATGACGGGATGTCTGGGTAATAATCACAACCAGTCAGAAACAATAATGAATGATGTCTCCCAGAGTCCCAGTGCAGATGTGAAATGTTTTAAAAATGAACCAGGCAGCACGACTAGTCTGTTTTAGTTAAATATATTAGGCAGCTAATTTTGCCAAGCTAACCCAAGGTCTTCTGGGTGGAGGAGAATGAATGATGCTTAAATTGCACACACAAACACAAAATCAGTAACACATGAGTAACAAAACAAATAAATCATAACTGGGAATGAAATTTGGCGCAGACTGACCTGAAAGCAAAGAAAGAGTTATTTCCTGCTTCAGTGGAGGAAAGGTTGTGCTTTTCTCTCCCACAGATCCTGGTGGCAGCTCCACAGCGTGTGGCAGAGCAGGGACTGTCCATTGTGGTTTTGGCTTCTGAGTCTTTTCTTGCAAAATATTACATGGGGCCACTTTATGCAATCCTGGTCTGGAGTGTGTAGAGCCCATTGTCCTGCTGTCGGTCCAAGAAGCTGACACTTGCAAAATACTTCCCGGTCCAAGCTATTTATGTAAAGTTTAATGGTTACAATATCTGTCTTAAAGTTGGGTGTTACAAATGACCTCAATCACATGATGGCTCTGTGAGCGTAGACCCACTTGTGCTAATATTTCTTTTCCTTTTTGCCCTGTCCTATAAAAATGTCAGTAACTTCACTTTTAAAGGAGTCTTTTCAATTTGCATCATTTGCTTCAGCTGCTTCCAAGCAAACCCAGTGGTCTTCACATCCTCAGCGGCTTTCAAACTTATGATTTGTCCTGGAGCGTTGTTGTGTGGCACCCAAGTAAAAATGTGGTTAAAAGAGTAGGTGTACACTCCATCCCAACCTGACTTTCACATTATAATGAGCTAGGTTTCTATGGCAACTCTCCCTACAGGTTACTTTGTAACTCATAAGTTAATGCTTGAAAGAGCCTGTTATTTTCCTGCACCCCCTTTGCTATCTGAAAGCCCAGAGGGAGCAGAGAGGGAAATTGTTTTCTGACTGAAAAATATGACTCCAGTAGAGCTCATAAAAGCACCGGGGTAGGAAAAAACTGTTACAGTCCTGGTTCCTATTACACTGCATACAGGAGTTGTTGTGCATTTTTTTTCTGTGCTTGGTAATATTTGGAATTTTTTTTAAAGACTGGTATTGTTTTTGTTATCATGCTAGCAGCATGGATCTGGGGATGGCAGTCCCAGTCTATCAGTGTGTTGGTATACTGCTTTCACCTGACTGAAATATTGTGTCAAACAACTACCCAGTGTGATTTTGCAAAGCCACTTGCGGTACCCAATTGCATGATTATAGCGCCACCTTGAGATGGATAGATGTTTAAATAAAAGGTATTGCTAAAATATCTTAGCAATCAATGACAGCAGGTGCCCGTGTCCCGTGGCTGCTAAACAAGCCCAAATCATCACCCCTCTACCACCGTGCTTGACGGCTGGTATGAGGTGTTTCAGCTGACATGCTGCATTTCTCTTTTGCCAAATGTGGCGCTGTCCATTATCACCGAACCCCTCCACTTTGGTCTGGTCTGTCCAAATTGTCCAGTTGTTCCAGAAGTCTTGTGGTTTGTTCACATGTAACCTAAGCCATGCGACCAGGATTTCTCCTGGCAACCCTTCTAAACAAGCCATACTTGTTCAGCGTTTTTCTAACTGTACTGCAATGAACCTCAATATTTAACATGCTAATCGAGGCCTGTAAACTCTGAGATGTAGCTCTTGTATCCTCGGACAATTGTCGAATTGTATTGATGCACGCCTGAATGCTCCATACAAGCAAAACTGCCAAAACTTGTGCTTTTATAGAGGTGCTCACACTTGCTGATGATCAAACAATCAAGTGCATGTGAATAGCAGCACCTGACTGCTACTTACCCTCTTTATTTCAATACAGGCATTATGGGTGTTTTCACAGGACTGCATATAGTTGTACTTTTTTAAGCATGACTGTATGTATTTTACAAAATACTTTTTCTGCAGCTAAAGATTATAAAAGATCCCTCTGATTAATGTGTTTTATCAATTTCTAGCTGGATACCAGTGACCATTATGAAAGTACAATTTGAACATTGCATTTTTTTCCTTTTGCTTCTTCGACATCATTTATTGTATTATGTTAAAATGCCACCACAGTCGTTTAGCTGAAACTGTCATCTCAGCAAATGCTTCATTAGAGGTTTCAACTCACTGACTGTGCTCCACCATAACAGCACTGTAGTGTGACTCTTGGGATTGTCTGTTTTTCAAATAGTCCTACTGATGATCTCAGTAGGACTATTTGAAAAACATGTTTCTCACCATGTTATGAGATATTAAAAAAAAAATCACAGTGACAAAATCATAGCATATGGTCTGTAGGAAACCATGTCCCGTGAGCTTTGACCATTGTTAGACATTTTCACCATTAATTGTGTGTATCTGTGAAAAAGGAAAAATTACAGTTAACTGTCAGTTTTCTGTGTATTGTGTATTTGTGTGTGAGAAAGTGAAGAACAGCACGGAAAAGCATTGTAATTCTCAAAGAGAAGAATTCTGGAAAGTCATCACTGCTGAATCAGAGCAACACAGAGAATACTAATACTGAATGAATCACACTACTTAATTTTGCTAAAAATACTTGTCCATGAGCAGTTAATGGTCAAAGGGACAACAGTCTGCTTTAGTCATTCTGATAGGCGTGGTTCCATCTTTATAGACTAGCTTGACTAATATTATATATTCAGTAAATAATTTGTAATGGCAGAGAAGATTTGATTAAATAAAAAAATGTTTTAATATTACTCTACTGATAATGTGATTCAGGGTGCAGAGTCATTTGCTTTTTTTTTTTTTTTTTTACATTTATTTGTGTCAAATAAATATACAGTCAGTTTGTCAGTCTAATATTAATACCAAAAATGTGACCTCATGTCAGAGCTTTGCTTAGAAACAGTAGAGCCGTTGCTTTGCTCTTTGGGATGTGAAGCTTTTCCAGCACCATTATCTGTAGATAAATGTATACGAATGCTTTTCAGTTATCCGGGCAATAAAGTTCTGAAGCTAGAAGTTTTTCCAAAAATATTAGAAATACATACATGTGATCCTCAGTTAGATGCAGCTTTTTTGTGGGTTTTAAGACTTTTATTACAAAATCAAAAGATCCTGTACATTAAGCATAGTATAATCATCATTCTTCTATATAATGCTATTCAGTAAGATTTAAAATTATTACTCTTATTGATACAGATCTAAATAAATATCATAAATATGTGTAAGACTGAGCCAAACTGGCCCTGCTGATAGTTATATTCACAGAATACAGTCTGCAGAGCATCTCAAGGGGGAGCCAGTCAGCTCTTGGTTTGGGTGCGTGCGAGGGATGGAGCGCGGCAAGTATGTCAAGAAAGTAAATAACACTTTCAGCTCTTTCAAGTTGCATGATCCATAAATGTTTTCAGTTTCCCCTGTTGTTGTGAAGTGATAGAAACAGTACGTCTCCAGAGTGAAGTTTGAAGTTCAAGACGTTACTGCCTCACTTCCTGATAGATGAGTCCACATGGACTGAGCGTCCCACCACACCTCCAGTGTAGGCTCTGGAGAAATGTGGAGTTTCCAGACTGGTTAACGGAGGTTACTATCAGAGCATGTCATGCCAAGGGAATGGAGACAGTGCCATTTGCGCGACTGCGGCTTCGAGTGTGGGTGCTGGAGTCTGTGAGCTCCTCGCCGTGGTCCTCTGACTTTTTGTCCGCAATGGTGGCCAAGAAACGCAGAGTGACTGAGTCCCATTCCTCTGGTAGCAGCATGAGCAGGAAGCCCAGGCAGATGATGCAGGTGGCAGCCAGTCGCACCACACTGAAGATCACCTCATGTTTCAAAAGATCTACAGCTAGAGTGAGAGGGGAATAAATATGGGTGGGAACAAAAGAGGGAGCCAGAGAGCAGGATGGGGATAGAGAGTGTGAAGGATGAGAGAGAAACACAATCAAATCGAGATTAATTACATAAAGTAAGATAAACCACAGGACAGTGCGGCTGTAGGGGGATTAGTGTAACAAATGCAGCTTATAATCAGCACAAGCAATCCACTTTATCCTCTGTGTCTTTGTGGTCTGGAGCCCTGGGACAGGTTCCCGTAACCCACTGACCTTCATACAGACCATTAAGGAAAAGAACTCGTCTGCAGGCATTTGTGTTGCCTTGGGAATCTGATCCTCCCTTAGCAAGAGGATGGTTGCAGGATCTGTCGAGGCACACTGATGATTGGGTTTCCGGGACAAAAGAGGCAGACTTGCTGTGTAATCTGTTTGCTACAGTGGCCCTAAATGCTGACCTCTCAATACAGCGCCACAGTATGTGTGGCCGTTTACTCCATTTTTTACAATCATATTATTTTACATCAAAATGATCAGTGAATGGCAGATAATAGAAACCTTACCTGCATTTCCCGGCACACTGAGCAGTGTCCCTATAGAGATCAGAATGGGGTAAGTCAGTACCACACCAACATGGACCAGGATGTTGAACACTGCAAAAGAAACAGAAAACAGAAGAAACAGAAGACTCTGTAAAGGTTCTCAGTCATCCAGGTCATCGTTGTCTAAGGAGCTTGGAAAGAAAAGCGTCTGGACTTCTTTAAGTTGCTTGAAGACGTTTCACCTCTCATCCGAGAAGCTTCTTCAGTTCTAAGAGTCAAATGGTGGGCATAAATCTGGGACTGTCCACCACTGACTCTAAGAACCGAAGAAGCTTCTCGGATGAGAAGTGAAACGTCTCATCTGGGAACCCATTAGCTTAGTTATCTGACCTAGCCACTGGGGATGGCGGCCAATATTTTGTAGCTTATGGTCTTGCCAGGTTATCTGGAAAGTGGATAATGGAACACTTCCTTCCACTCACCATTATTTATGAATACACATATATTTCAAAAAGCTAATAAAAAGCTAAATTGTTGTCAGTCGATAGCTAACGTTCCATTACTGGGGCTAAAAGCAGACAACAAACGGAAAGTGGAAAATTTCCGATACTTAAAATAATGCCCTTTGCCTACAGATCCTGTATTCAGACAATACAAACCGAGTGACTGATGGTAACTATAAGAAATGAATCCCTATAGTTATACTAAAAGCCTTAAAATGATCCAAAATGGTTTGTACATGTGGATGAAACCATCCCGTGTATATGCACTCTCACCCAGCCACAGTCCTGCCAGTCCACACATGTATCCCCACGGCAGTGAGGAGAGTGAGCCCCAGTGCTCTACCCTGGTGAAATACAGGATGAGGGGCACACAGGAGATGAAGATGAGGTTGAAAAAGCCCATGGTGGAAAGAAAATGAGCCACTTCTCCAAGGTTGGCGCTGCCTAGGAACATCTTGAACAGCACCTGGATGGTGAGAAAACAAAGAGTTGACACGATGCAATCAAAAATCAAGCATAGCTCAGACTGGAACGGGCTTATGAGGAAGTCTGACCTTATAAAGAGCTGAAGTTGAGGCTGAGCCCACAGCCAATGCCACACCCACAAAGGAATCACCATGGAAACCGTCAGCATAAGCCATCATGACAATACCTGTGATGGCCATTATGGCAGCCACAATCTGCACATAGACACGTAGATGACACATTTTGAAGTAGTAAAAGCTTGTGTTAAACAGGTAATAAACAATCTCCTTCTTGTTTTCATACAGACCCGAACACCCATGAACCGGTCCTTGAGGACAATCCATGAGAGGAGAAAAACAAAAGCTTTGTGGCAACAGTAGAGGGCAGAGACATCAGTGGCGGTCAATTTCTTCAAGGCTAAGAGGTACAGGTAGTTGGTCAGTGTCCACAGGATTGAGAAGGGTGCTGTCCTCTTTACAAAAAGCTTGAGAGTCATTCCATCCTCCCCAAAGAGCTTGCTGCACTCCCTGTTAGAGAAAAACACCAGTAAAGTCTTCTGAATGGAAATGACTGTGTTTAGAGAATGGACATGATGGTTGTTTGGCTCTCACAGGCTTGAGGGTGGTTTAATACTGGTTCCAACTCACCAGAGGTAAAATGATAATAGATCGGAACCTCCTCAGATATCACACTTGGCTTCTTAAAACTTCTTAAATGAGATTTACCTGAATTTCTGGATGGGGGTCTGCTTCTCCCGTGTGGTGACGACATGTCCCGAGTAGTAGATGGGGAAGATGAGGATGTTCCAGTTGCTGCTGAACCAGGAGATGAAGAAGGGACAGGAGAATGACTGGAAGGTCAGCTTCACCACCTGAGTGGTACCCACCCAGGAGGAGGAAACACACAGCACCATCAGCAAACCACCCAGCACCTTCAGAGCCGTGTTGGCGCACGTATGGAAGGACTGGCTCTCCATACTGGTCTCACTTCCTGGTGTCTCTGCGTGAGATTCCGAGCCATCCTCTCCTGATGAGAGTCAAGAAGGGGGGAGAAAAATTAAAGGAAATCCACAGCTAGCATCAGATTTCATCTGAATAATTTTGATTAGTATAATGAGTTTAAACTTAACAACTTTTGTATTTTTTGCACCACTATATATAGACTTCAGTGCTGCCTGCATTGTGGCTTCCTGAATGGGTTCCAGCACATGAGCTTCATCGATCAGTCGTCCTTAGTGATCACTGCCTCAGTTTGCCTTTCTTGCTGTGGTGGCACAATTGAGGCTCCGTTTAAAATGCATCGGGTTAACACGGTGCACGCTGCACATGCCATAAATAGCTTGGTTGCCTCATGATGCAGCATGTACTGTACTCCCTTTGTAGCCAGATGTGCACAGAAACCGGATGCCCACAGAGCAAAAGTAAACCTAACCACATGACAGTCAACATGAAAGTCAGGCCAACCTTGGTGCTCATGGGACACTGTTCTTGTATCGCTGCTATGAAAAGGAATTTACTGGAACTTTACTGGAACATCCAAATTGCAAAGGTTAAATGATACGTATGTCCCAGTGCCTTTATGGACGATCAGAGAAAGCAAAGTGGGATGTGTGTGAGCTCAGATCTGTTCTTTACCTCTCAACAGTGTGATCAATTTACACCAGGGCAGGAATAAAAGATGACATGTGCTGGCTGTTTGCTAGCTCAGCACCTAAAGCTCTGCCATTTCCGCCACAGACACCAGAGCCCTGCAAACACACTAGAACGTGTAGCAGTAGTAGCTCTCCTCTACACAACACAGGGGTGCTCATTATTGCATGCGATAGTCTTCTGTTTGTTATCTGCAAAAAGACCTCAGCAGGATGTCAAGCAATGGGAGCACAAGTCAGTGACGTGTACTGGAAATGGATTGTACCAACAAGTGCAGTAAATAATCATTTCTTACATCAAAAGAAGCTGTAACACAGTGTGTGAAGAGCAAACTCTTGGATCAAACAGCCATTTTATTAGTAGGACAGCTGGTAGAAGTTTAGTTTTTGTAAAGTTCCTTATGTGATCAGATGCCAGTATGTGTTTTAAAATCCATTCCTTCTTTTTACAGGATGCAAACAGAGGAAAACGTCACCAAACTTTGAAAGTAAGTTGATGAGTAACTTCATAAAACAATCAAAAGTCTTGCCAAACGTGGTATATATCCTTTATAAGTGCATGAGATCATCACCGGCACTCAGTGGCTGAAAAACTGCCCAAGAGATTATAAAATTGCAGATTGGACACAGTCATTACTGGCAGCCGTCTTCAATCAGTTCAAGGATAGAAGTAAAAAATAAGAACATAAAAATGCTCCTTTGCAATTAAAAGTCCTGCATTTAAGATCGTATCAGTGTATTATCCTCTACATGTACTTAGCATCACATGAAAGGAGGCACTCTGAAGAAAATTGGTTTCCCTAAACTGAGTATCAGTATCAACTTTTGCATTAGTGATACATCAGTGCATTTTAACTTAACTTTATATGCATTATACTTTGTGTTCCTTTAAAGATTTTAGTTCACTGCAGAAAAAGATGCTAAATGGGGTTAGAAAGAAGAAAAAAACATGTTTTTCAATGCTCAGTACACTAAAACACAAAGTAATGATTTAAAGTAAAATGTAACTATAATAAATAAAAGAAAAATATATGCTAGTCAAATTTCATTTGACCTGGTTCCATTAAATTTAACATTTCAAATTGTAAAATTTAGATGTAATCAAATTAATTAAAGTCAGAATTAGGGAACAAATATTTTTTTGAGTGTAGTAGTCTCTAGGCAGGCTAGCTGTGCTTTGGGGTACAGGTAATGGGGAAGTTAACAAATATATATTTTTTATAGTAATACAGTTTTATTCCAGTCTGGGCCTCAAACAATTATTTAGATGAAACCAAATGAGTGTTTTAAAAGAAAAAAAGCATTCCTCATTATAGACAAATAACTTGTTTTTCAACTGCAAAGCACCAGTGAGCTTTCTAGTTAATGTATTGGTGTAAAAAAACAAACAAAAAAACTGTGGAATGAGGCATATTACAAATTTAGCATAAAATGGAAACACCCGAGTAAAGTAGCTCCAATAAAGCTCACATGAATGTATTTTCCAACACTGCATTGCTGCAGCACTGACCGTCTGTCCACGGTGCAGAGTGGAAAATTCTTCAATGACCACTTACACTTTGAAGGCTTTTATGAGCCTTCAAAGTGTAAAAGAAAAATATTATTTAGCACCCAACAATTCAAAAGTAATAATGAGTTCAACTTGTACACCCCCACCACAAAAAACGCTCGCGGGAGAACAGCACTTAAACTGTTTCTAGTCAGGGGATGTGTTAAAGGCAAAAAGCTCACCGTCGATACAGTTTCTGCAGGATCATCGAGGGATTTCATTTAATTGCATTCTGTCACAGCAAGGGTTCTTAATCAAACTAATGAACCTGGTGGTTGCTAAGTGGAAAAAACTGAGATCCGATATTTCTGCAATAGAGAAGCAGCTCTTTTATTTATTTTAATTTTTTTTTTTTTTTACTTTAGGTCTGTTTTTCTTCATCCACACAGCAGGATGGTTTGTGTTTCACAGCACCGACAAAACCTAAAGCTTTTAGTGTCAGATGCAAGCTTTTCTGTCCTGAGGTAAAAGCCACAACAGGCTCATCTGATGCCAAGACGCAGTAATATTATAACTCTACTATTCCCCTGTCTCATAAAAGTTGCTCCCATTGCCAAAATTGTATTCTCATAGCAGACAGTATTATTGCTGACAAATATTGGTGGTAAAATTTTGCAAAGGAAACAATAATCTCTGCTAAACACAGGCTGACAACACAGTACTGCAGGAGTGAAGGTAAATTCAGTCCAACTCAGGGAAAGTTTTATGAAAAGCTCAAATTTAAGGTTAGTAGTGTTAAGGTATCTGTATGTCCATGATGAATAATTAGTTACTTAGCGCTGGGGTGGGGGTTTTTTTTGTTGTTTTTTTAAGTGAGTGATGATCAGTTTTGGTGCTTTGGTAGGTAAAATGTGATTGGATAAAAGAATGAATACATGCACAAATATTAAAATCTACAAGTCAGGATAAAATGAACAATGTGTTAAATGTAACCCAAGAAAAGCTCATTTCCTCATGTCAAAGAAGCATCCACTGCAGTGATACTCGGGATAAAAAAGTGTAATATTTTGAGGTTTTTTATAGTTTTATAGGTTAAATGCACAGTAGCTTATATCGGTTCAGACATGGAGTCAGAGTATTTGGAAGTGCTAGAACACTTCATTGCAGAAAACCCAGTGCTGCATAGCATCAGTCACCACCGGCACCCATTTATCCATTCATCGTGATGCAGTATGCTTCTGGAACCTCACATTTTAATCCATTTTCTCCTTTATCGCCACCACTAATGTTGCACGGCAGTGATTGATGGAGGCCCGTTGAATCCAATAAGAGGCTCATAGTCTTGTCTGCAGTTTTTAGCCAGCTTAGCTCAGGTCAAAACGCATTAAGTCTTTATCCAAATTAGGCCTGAAGATGAGACATGGATATCATGATGCTGATGAAAAGTTGATTAGTGGCATCACAGTAATCTCTGTTAACAGAGTTAAAGGTGGGGGGCTAAAATGTTTAATCAGATGAGGGGGAACAACAACAGGCTTTACACACTCCATTACCATTACACTGCTACCAGGAGGCTGAAATAATAGAATTTTTTTTTTTACAGTATTCAAATTCAAACAGTTTTTAGATCCAAAGGCTGCTCTCATGTAAATGGAGCAGGATATAATTTGGAAACGTCCATATTTATTAAAATCTCAATATTTCCTATGAAGACTTATAGACTCTACATGGCACTTTGGTGTATTTGATGCCTTGTAGGAAACAAAATGTCACTCGTGACCCTGAAAATAAAAGTTAAGCACTTTGTCGTATCTTATTTTTCTATTTACACACACAATGCATACAGTATACTCCAATACAGTATAAATGGCATCTTGTGTCTCTTTGGAGCTTTCAGTTTACCTTCAGAGTTAGGGCAGGTCAGGACCTGAGTGCTGTATGAGCTGAGAGGAGCCACTCGGGCTGAGTGCTTCTTCATCCTCCACTGGGGGCACCACACACTGTCCTCCCCTGGAAGTAGTGTGTATTTGAGTTTAGAAGTGTTGCTTGGCTGCTGCTGCAAGCTCAGCAGCTCCTTCAGCTCGCTCCGTGCATCCTCAGACTCCCGACTCCTCCGCTTTTTCTTCACACTCTTGACTGCCTCCTCCTCCTCTTCCTAGGTCTCTGTCAAATCTTTAGTCTCCTTCCAGGACTCAAGTCCTGACTCTCTGTTCCTCTCTAGCCCAGCACGTCTGTATAGTGCCACAGCTCAGTGGTGATAGCGAAGTGGAAGTGTAGCAAAGTGGAGACCCTACAGTTGCTCTATCATGCCATGATCCAGCTCTGCCAGTGTCTCCAAGGGAGACTGAGCTTCAAGTGTGTGTGGCATGGTGCAATCACTCCCCTCATCTCTTTCTATCCTCCCCCTCCTCTTTTCGTGTCTGTCTCACTCACTTTTCCCTCCTCTTCCTTTGCTCCGCAAATCAGCAGCTTTGTTTGGAAGGTAACCAAGCAGCTCAGGCAAATTTATGCTGTGCTAGCTGTGCCCCCTCTTTTCCTCCTCCCCTCTCTTTTCTACCTGACAAGGCTCTCCTTACTTTTTCCATCTCTCTCTCTCTTTAATCTCCCCCCCTGTACAAACTCTTGCCCTCTGTCTTGCAATGCCTCTCTCTTTCCTTGGCACCTCTCCTGCTCTTGACTACCCCTTGAGAGTCATATTATTAGTAGAGCTCTCTCCGTCTTGTTGCCTCAAACCCTGACACATTAGTCAATTGAACGACGATATGAAAAAGGCAAAAACCATGTGCATCCTACAAAAGAATACATGACAATCCCAGGCATTTAAATCCTGTTGTGCACAGAGGTCATCTTAGTTCTCTCAGAGGGAAAATAGGCCTTTTTACCCACGTA